CTCAGCCCTGGTGTGTTTTGAATGTCTTGGGCAGCTTCAAAAAGCACTGCCTGTCTGCATCTAGGTACCTGAATCACTTTCTGAGAAGTGGGAGAACCTGATCTAGAAACTAATGGGTAAGACTCTTTGACCTAGTTTTGTCAGGAAGGCTTATCTAGGGTATGGCTTTCTGCTACACCTCACTGTAATGACTGTGGGTGCCCTGCTCAGTAACGCTGTACGTGTGAGCAGCTATGCTCTCTCCTCAGTACTATTCCAAGAAAGCTCTAATCAAGCTAGTTGTCTGTAGCACATTGCAAACAGGACCCTGGCAAAACGTTAAACCATGGAGAACAGTCTGCTTAGTGTTTTATTTGGAGAGGATCAAGTGACAGAACCAGCTGACCATGCTCACACTTTGTTCTGTGTCCACTTCCTTCTTTGAAAGCGTTTTCCAGAGCTCTGACTGGGTTGAATAACAATAAACAGCCCCCCTCCCACAAGCACCCTTTGCAGCTGTGCTGACCAAGCAGCTCAAATTCTTGGACATCAGCATTTCAGGTCCATGGCTTGTCTTGAGCTGACAGTGTGTTTGCATTGCTTAGGGGGGTGTAGAGGATGTGAACTTTAGTATCATTGGACTTCAGTGGTCAGACTTGCTGTAAGAGGAAGATAGAAGGCAATACTCCCAGCTCCCATAAATGAGCAATTTCTTTGCTGGAATGAAGCTTATCATATCTGCAACGGATCTGGAGCAGTTGCAGTTTCTGAAACTAGTTTGCAATACTGCAAGATACAGAGGTTTCCCAAGTAGCAGCTGTATGTTTTGTGAAGCAAGTGCCATGAAGCTTTATTGTAATTATTTAGTAGTTTCCTGAATTTTTGTGTTCTTTTTTTGACTGAATGCTTATCTTTCTCATCTGTTTGCTTTTAAGCATTGACCAGGAAGCCCAATGCTCTTCAAACTGAAGACAGCATATAGTTCTAGTACTGCCACCAGTCATAACAAAGCTCTACTCTTACACGCTGAAATGAATTGCCATATAGGAAATACCTAGGAACTCCATTAACGTGATAAAAAAGAAAAATCTTTGTATTACTGCTTTTTCTGACTGAGAGAATTAGTGGTTGTCTAGTAGCTCCATAGTGCCATGCTCTCAGAACTTGGTTCTTTGCTATATTCCTCACAAGACATCAGAAATGAAGCACATGAAAATTATAAACAGTGTGTTCATCTGCCTTTACTTCTCCATTGCGGCAGTTGTAGTCTATGAAGCTGGGGTGTGCAGTGTCACATTTTATGTTGCAGATGGACTGAAGTTGCAAATTCAGTTTTCTGAACAACCACCTTGGTTCCCAATTACCCACTGCAGTTCAGGCAGGAGATGTATTCTGGACATAAAAAGGTATTCTCTGTTCTGTTGAACTACTTCACAGGTAATTGTTGTCACTCTTGCTCTGGAGGTCACCATTGCATTAAATCACCAGTCCTTTGGTTCTGTTCTTAGTTGAAAATGTGATCCCAACAGTTACTGGTGCTTCAGCCCACCCTTCTCACTGATGGCTGCTGGCATGGGACCTTTGAAGCCTAAGAGTCTGGGGTATTGCACAAATCCTGCGCAAGGAGGAGCAGCACTCCAAACATTTTCTGAAAATAACATAGCAGGATCTATGAGGAGAATTATTTTCTTCTCTTTTGAGAGACCAAAATATGCTGGAACATAGCAGGAAATTGTTTGCACAATAAGCAGTGTCCTAGCAGTGTCCTTCACATTTAGTTTTGGCTTGGTGAAATTTTTTTAGGAAAAAGCTGGAGAACTTGCCAAAACTTTCTAAGCCCACAAGTTACAGTGTGTAAACTTAGAACAAAGATCTTCCTTTTGGATCAGTTTAGCTTGACTTACTGATGCTGTATTGTTTTGGCAAACAGAGAAGTGAAGTACTTGGTACTAACAGAGTCTAGGACAGGAGGTAAGGCTGTGATTTGCCCAAGGGAAGATAGTTTTAATTCTAAGGGAAGAACATTGTCTTTAGAAGAGTCATATATGCAACAATAAGAGTAAGAAAAACTCACTTGTACACACACACACTTTGCTTTTCTTTATGAATCCTGTCAAGGAAAATGAGTTATGGACTTCTTCTTCTAACACTTTAGAAGCACCCACCACCTCAGGGCCAGGCAGGTACATGTTTCCCAGCTACGTTAAACTTGATATGGAGAAGGTCAGTCAAACAATGGACACACTCAAAATTTTGAGTATAAGAGTGAGAATATATTTCCTCTTGGTATTCTAAAAGAACACTTAAGAGCCCCCAGAACTTGGAGTCCCTTTTATTCTTTCAATTTTCAGAGTTCCTGAATTGTATGTTTTGACGTATAGGGATAACCTTACACTGAAAGATAAAATTAATGATTGTGCCAGTCTTAAGTTAATCAAATACTAAATTTTAAAGCAAGCTAAAGCTTAGATGCTGCAGTATCAACATGAGGAATTGCAAGTCCCTGGGTCTAGGCAGTTTGTGAGGACTGTAAAATGCAACTTCCTTAATTAATTTTAACAACTTTCCTGGTTTTTAAGACTGCTGTCTCGGTCATACATGAACTGGGTCTCCCTCAGTGTTTTCTAGAGAACGTGTTTACATTCTGTACAGGTCCATGCTCATTCCATCTGCTTCCATATCAGAGCTAAATTTTTAACCTCTTGAGTTATCCTGGCAATTTCCAGTCTCTGATGCTGTTCCACTTTGCTTTTGGCAATACTGTAATTTTTTTGCTTATATCTTTTCAATAAAGCATGTTAAGAATGCTGTGTAAGTCTTCAGGGCAAAAACAGTGGCATGAATATGTAAGAGCTTTAACAGTTGCTAAACAAAAAGGAAAGGTATGAAAGATTTACAAATTTACTGAATATTATCACAGTAATGTGATCTTGCTTAAATAGGGGTTTTTTTAAGTAAACCCCAAAGAAATCACCATTTCTGGACTACTTTGAAGCTTTTGAGACAGGGCCCCATCACTACAACTAAGCTGGATGTGCTATGATTTGGTACTGGATTATAGGCTAAAGGAGAGTTGCATGAAAAGGGAAGACCTGTGGGAGGAAGGCAGAATGCTGCAGCCCCGAGATGTGACTGTAAGGCTGATCTTGATGTGTTTAAAGGGCCAAAGTAACATTCATGATAGCTGACCTAAGGTGGCTATGTTCTGTAGCCATTGGATGACTTCCCCAGCCTGTAACATTAAATTAAATACATTTCAACATGAAGCACAAAACCATGAATTTTCAGGATAAAAAATGAGGGTAAGGGTTGTGCAAAAGAGCTGTAATAATTAATTGAATGCTGGTGATGGGCTTAAAATGTGATACTCCAAATGCAGTTCTGTGATGTGTCACCAGAGGGGTTCCTAAGCAAGACGGAACTATGAACTGCATTGCTCAGCCATCGGTACTAATGAGAAAACAGACACACAGTCCTGGAGAGGGGATGGACTAGAAACAAGTAAATCATCTTTACAGTATCAATAAATCGACTTAATGAAAGGCTGAGTGACTTTAGCATAAGTATACCTAGACAAGGTAAGGAACAATTTATGCTAAAAATTTGTTGCATAAAATGAATATGAATTTATGATTGAATTTAGAATAATTAAATAACCAGAGAACTAAGGGGGAAAGAGACTTCAATGGGGAAGGGATTTTGTCCAGTATCCAAACACCTGAAAGGAGGTCAAGTTTTATATTTGCACTGACACCTATGAAATCTTGAGCACATACTTCTGCTTTACTGTAGTAACAGGATTACAAAATACATTAGAAATGACTGAGCTGGGCAAAAATGCACTAGGTCTGGTATTCTACTGTATAAAAGTATATACAGTGATCACTTCTTATTCAATGGTTATGACTGTGGAAAGGATTGAGGGAATTATGAAAATTCAACTGAAATTGATGTAGTAATTGCAAAGATTTAATTTTATTTATTCGTCTGTATAACAGAGGTGAGACAATCCCAGTAATTGAGTTGCACTTAATTGTCTTAATTTCTACAAAGTAAGGAATTACAGTTCTGTGAAAGAATTTTTTCTCTAACTCTTCAAGTCAAATCCAGTAATTTTCCACCAAACACCACAATTAATAAAAACTACAAAAGTTACTTCAAATCACTCTTTCTCTCCCCCTGTACCTCAATCTTGGTAAAAAAATGAAACAGCCCTGTACCCCCTTTTTCAGGTGTGTAGCTGGTGCTAGTGAGATGACTCATAGCCATTTTTTCATATGGAGTAGTAAAAAAGGAAAAAATATCCATATGGTCACTTTAACATTGCATGTCAGAATAAACTACTGCTTAACAAAAAAATTAACCTATTCCAGAGCTGTACTCATATTTCCCCTGATGCATTGTTCCCCAGCCTCATGACAGACTTAGATGCAGTTCTCATTGTGACCTTCCTCACCTGTCACCACCTCCCCTCTGTGCCCCGCATGAGGGACTAGTGCCAGCAACCAGGACGATCAAACCCCACCACACCAACCCTTTCACCAGGAAGGGGTCTACAAGTGGAGTCTGAGCAAGACTGAACAATTACTCAGTGACATAAGGAAATGCAAGCCTTCCTTACACCAGTGTAAATCAGGAGCCCGCCTACTGAAGTTGGCAGATTTACCTCAGTGTGACTGCAGAAGTGATGTGGGAGCAGCACCAGCCATCCTGGACAGGACCCCCAGTGCATTTGGGCCTTAATCTAAAGGTCTTCTGAGAGATGGCCCATTTATCTTCAGTTGGACTTTTGACCAGATCTCTGTACACATGTGCCAGCAGTACCAAGTTCTGAAGACAGTTGTAAAAATGCAGTTTTTAGTTTTCTAAAATGCTATATTATAGTTTTCTCCTTCTGTATGTAAGTTTCAGTGATAATCAAATGCTACTAAAACACTGCATACAGTTTTGTAATAATAAAGATCAAGAGCTGATTGCTATGTTCAACTTAAAAGCCAATTTTGAGAAGCAATTTTTGTATTTTTTTTTTATTTATGATGGCACAATTACTTTTTTGCATTCTTATTTTATCTTCAATTGCACAAGCTTCATTAGGACATGCTAGAAAAAAGCAGCTTTTAGAGAAAACGGTCATGGATGGATATCTCCAATCTGTCCATGCTTCCTGCAGCTTGTCTCATTGTACAGCCTATTAAGGAAAGTATCTGCAAGTCACTGGCAAGCTAATGACTGACACTTAAAGTACTCATCACACCTTCTATACAGTTAGCTAAACACACCCCTTTATACTCTATTAAAAATTAACTGAGTTGTTCAAAATCCAAAATTTCTAAACTAAAGTTCACAGCAAACTTCAAAATAAATACAATTTAATACAAAATTTTAGAAAAAAACCCACCTGAACTTACTTAGAATTGCAATGATGTAATCACCTGTGCTAGTAATTAGCTATTTCAGAGACCTGTGTGTGTACCTTAAAATGACTCAATATGTGATTTTGTTAAATCTGGCTACAAATACTGGAATAAGAAAATACTGTCTCTACAAAGTGCTGAGTTCCTCTTACTCTTATGAAAGCCAATGTAAAAAATCAGGATGTTTAAAAAAACTTCTCAACATTTTGCAGGGTAACACCCACAGGTTTAGAGACTGTGATCATCTTTATGAAAGAAACTCTTTCAGAAGCAAGTTACAACAGCTGTGACAGGGTGGGTTTCCAACACTGTCTTCCCTGAAGTCTCTTTAAATGATGGCATCATGTTCATCACTGCAATAGAAACACGGTAATTAATGTTTTCCACAACAAGCAACAGTCAACATGAGAAAGAGCCACTTAGCTGCTGCTGAGAAGGTTATTTTGTGAGCAGAGGCCACCTTGCTAAGAAGGGCAAAGGGCACACTGATCTGGGAGTTACAGTCCTTTCTGAGCCAAGCCTGAAGTCAACTGAACGATTTAATTTTGTCAAGACTCCTCCAGCTTCAGTGGCCTTATTAACATCTTGCCTTTCACATTTCATTCACGTATCTCTACATCAGCTGTTGCTCAGGCACGTTTATCCTATCTGTCTTGCCTATACCCAGTAGCCACAGTTAACCAAAGCCACTGTACAAGCTCAGCAGCAGGTTCTCCAAGTTTTAAAGACACTGTTGATCTGAAGTCTACAATATCCATTAACAAACACCACTGCAGGTAAACGTGCAGCAATGACTGATTTAATTCCATGACCAATAAGCGGGAGTCAAGATGGAGAGAAAACAAAAGGCCTCAACACCAGTATCCCAACAATCTAATGACATCATCTCACTTAAAACAAGTTTCCTGACTGAGACAGATGATACTGAATAGGAAAAGAAAAGCAACCTTGTTCTTGAACTAAATGTGGGCAAGTATGGAAGCCTGGAAGAAATCTGAGTAGAGCTGAGTATAAATAGCAAGTGAGATGGTGCAATTTTTAATGAACTTCACTACAAAAAACGTAACAGCAAGAGGGAGGAAAACATTAAAGAATGGTGTCTTCTTGACACTAGAAGAAAGTGTCAAGAAGAACCAGAAATCTTGCAAATTACAGAAAGAGTTTCAATGAAATGTTAACTATTCGTGGAATAGCTAAAAGACAAAGATCCTTAAAAAAAATTATGTAATACATCAGAGAAAAAACCCCCACAGAAGAGCAGCATAATACTAATGAGGAATAGCTGAAATGGTGAAAGACAAATCATCACAGTTAAATCTCTTAATGATATTAATATAATGTACATTAACCAAATGTATCAGAGTTCATTCTGCCCATTCTGTTTGTCCTATTCCCTTGAAGAAAGCAATAAATGGACAAGGGACAATTCCTTGTGAACTTACATGGTTCTGTACTGAATGCCTCTTCTAGAGTGATAGGTTTTGCATCCGATGTAGAGAATAACTAGGACTCCAAGAGTCAGCACAATGCCACCAACAAAACTGCCCACATCGAACCTGGAGGTTTTGGCTACAACAGCCTCAGATTTTGATGTGGCTGAAAAGAAGAAAACAAAAGGCACCTTTTAGAGAGCTTGCAAAATTGTGTTTTGAGGGATTCCTCTACATCCTGCCCTCCCCACTGACATACCATCTAAAGACCCAATTAGACAAATTTAACAAAGATCACCTGAAAAGATACCAGCCAAGCATGCTGAAACCTAGGGCTCTGGTTTAAAGTACCACATTCTGGTGACGTGGGAGCAGCTGATCCAACTGCTTGCTGTCTCTGAAAGACTGACTACCGCTTTTCCTCTCCATGTCCCTCTTTACCCTGCCTTTTCTTCCCCCTGGTTTCCCCTCCTACACAAGGAGCTCCTGCCCTTCTTAGGGCATGCTAGCGTTTTTCATACCCTCCATGAGCAAATTTAACTCACTAAACTGGCCTGAAATTAACACAAGCATAAAAGGAAGTTGCTTTTATTCAGATGAGCATACTGAGACAGCCTGCAAGAGGGGTCCAACAGCCACCAAGTCAGTCAGTATAGTGACACAGTGGGAGTGAAACACTTCTAGTGGCAATGAGCTGTTGGATTGCTTTACCTTGTCTCATGGAATTGGGAATTGTACTCTCGCTATCCTAAGCGAGATCAACTCTGCAGCCTAACACAAGTATTGACACAGACAACATAATCACACAGAAGCAACAGCTGTTTCACTGTTAAAACTGGTTACATCTGCTACAAACTCCCACTGAAAGACAGTCTGTCTCCATTTCTATTTGTACTTGCTACAGAGACTGTTACGTGGTCAACTAAAAGTTCTGCTGGTGACAGCTTCACCTACCCAATGATGCTCCACTGATATGTGTGCAACCCTAATGTGTTTAGAAGGGTAAGCAGGAAGTGATGTGAGCAAGCAGCTAACTGCAAGGAAATACTGAATTCTGTGCTCACTGGTTTTGTATTAAAGGGTAGTATTAAATTGTATTGGACAACTTTACATAAAGTTGTCATGCATAGTCATGTTCCGTCCTGTGTTAGGGATAAAATTCATTACATTGCTAAGGGAACTACTGGTCTTTTTACCAAGCCAGTAGACATATTTTGAGATACAGGTCAGCTGTGAGAAAGGAAGTATTAGAGATGAGTTCAAGTTCAAACTGCAGAAAGGAAAGCTGAACAAACATAGAAGTTGCATTCCAAACCCAGACTTTCTCCTTAACATTGCTAATCTCTGTGCTGGTGGCTGCTGGTTCAGACCACTTGCCTGGGTTTTTTCCCTAAACATGTCAGGCTTCTGAGGTTAAGCGAATCTTTCTTTAAGTAAGCAGAGTGCTCAGAGCAACATTACTGTAGCCAACTTAGTAATGAAACCCCACTTTAGTCCTGTTTTTTCTACATGCAAATGCCTTCTTTCTTCTTTTTGTTACACTGTAAAACTAACCATTCTACAACCTATATGAATGTGTGTACAAACCTTTATGAGCTTCCTGAACTGTGAACTCACCTGTTACAGAAGTGGAAGAAATCTTGGAAGTGGTCACCACTGTAACATAGAGTTGTGATGATGTGACTGATGAAGCTGTGGTGGATCTTATTGTCTGGCTGGTTTTGGTGGGCTGAGTCGTCAAGCTGACAGACATATTGGTGATAGTGGGCTGAGTGGTACTGGTCAGATGAGTAGTACTGGTGGACACACCTGGGAAATTTTTATTTGTGATACCACATAGAAAAATACATAAAAATAATAAACTGCATACTCATGGAGTAAGACAGCATTTATTGTGACCAAATAGAATGACAGAGTAACAATGAAAATGCCACTGCATGAGTATCCAGGTTTGCATACAGACTTTCCTTTGGAAAGACCTAACTTCTGATTTCTGGCCTCAAGGTCATGAATGATTTAAAGGGAAGGCTGTAAAGAAAACCTGGATAACTTTTAGAAGGGTAATTTTTTTTTTTGATAACACTATCCAATTCCATAGAATGATGCCTAATTTACAGTATTTTAAAATGCAATGAACTTCTGGTCAAGAGTAACTTTCAATTGGAAGCACCCATTTTTTCAGACAACAAAGCTTTTCTAATAAGAACAGATTTTGCATCAAAATTCCCCCCCTCTAATTTTAGTAATGATTTAACTTTTAATTTGCTTTTGAATGAAACACTAGCATTCTAAGGCTCCATATATATTAAAAATTACCACAGAGAATTCTGTATTTATGTGAAACTTAAGGTTCATGTTTTCCACACACGATAAAAGTTCAACTAAAGTCAATTTGCTGGCTTATATAATCCATTTAGTAGTGATCTGTCTTGTCAAGGTTAAAACAAAGATTGGAAAGGTGTTTCACAAGTTTAATGGACACTTAACGTCTTTAACTTTGCTTCCCCTTCCCTCCTCAGAAAGCATTAATGAACTGTTCAGAATAAAAATACCATGATGCAAAATTCACAAATAATAGGGATTGATATTTATAGCAAAATCCTTAGAACCTTAGTGGAAGGCAGCCAGAAAGAATGATTTTAAAGCAATTTGTTATTTTTCTAAGAAGGAAGTAACAAGAAACATGAGCCTGTTATGCAACTAACATTTCTCTAAGCAGACAGTATGAGGCAAATAGCTTTTACGTATGAAAGAACTCTAGATAGAAAAAGCTCCCTTTGTAGCTGTCTACTTCTGCATTATTTCTATAACCTCACACAAGCTGAGTTCATTTTAAATGCCACAAAAGCTTTTTATTATGGACATTCAAATGATTAATTATACTCAGGTTTTCTTACAACTGTGTAAAACTAAAATAACTGAAAAAATAGATAGTTTCATCTCAATTCCAAAGTAAACTTGATATTCAATTTTTTTTTTTTATATACAGTATCTAAAATGCTTCTATAGAATAATATTCTTGTAAGTGTGGTGTAAAACATGAGGAACTACATACAGAACTCTGTCTTTGCTAAGATTTAAATATCACAGCTTCCAGTACTGATATAAACATTAAAAACTTTTAAGAAAAACAGCAGTACAACAGTGTAAGCATTTAGAAAGGAACTGGCCTATACAACACTTCTGAGACATTCAGAATTAAAACTACTGAAACAGCTTAATACAGTCTCAATAGTAAATGTTATTTGTTTTCCTGTTCTTTGTTGTTGTAACTGCATTGTGCCATAACCCTAGGATACACTTTGAAATGAGCATTCATTGAGCTGGAACAGCTGGAGTACTATAGTCACGTACTTACCTTGTTACAATTAGGAAATTCAGTTCCTCTATGAAGCATGTGTAAAATACATCAGATAAAATTCAGGGAACATTTTAATAGTGACAGGTAAACTCCCCAAAGGCACAATGATCTATAAATACCAAATCGTTCCTCACTGTAGGAAATAAGCAATGAAATGTCTATATGGAAACCACCTACATTATATGACATGAAATCACACCTGGTAACTGCATGCCTAATATAAGCAATATCAAAAGAAAGACAAATCTGAATGCGAGTGTCAAGCAGCCAGTTTTCTGTGGGGTTTTTTTCAGCCATGATTTCTGAGTGTCAAAGCAGCTCCTCTTTCTGAACAATGGCTAATTGTTCCATGCATAACATTATGAAACAATGTTACACAAAGATGGTAATTATTCCATGGGTATCAAATTACCCTACAGAACACCTGAGTCATGACAAAAAATATCCAAACACCTATGAGGAATTTCAGCACATTTGCACATTACTTCTCCCCACCTTTCTTTCCTACTAGCAATCCTTTTTTTCTTATTTTATCAAGATTACAGCCCTTGATGATATAACATTAACAGTAAAGTCTGTTTAATGTCCAGACCTATCTTTCCTGATGTATTTAACATCAGTCATTTCAAAACATCAGTGGGAGTCTATCTAAGGCAGCTGGAGAATTTGGAAAGCTGACATAAATCAGGCATCAATCTGTTCTTCTCTGTCTTTGAAAAATCTTACCCATACTATTTTACAAACAGAGTTAAGATGAAAGAATATAGCAACATCTGTCCTTTTATTTTTTATTTCCCTAATTACTCTTCCCCCAAAAGACCAGCTGGGCTTCATCGAACATCACACTAAACAAACCCTGACTGTTTAAGTTAATTTTTTTTTGTTTAAAAAGCATGCATGCCAGTAATATAGTTCAGGTTTATGATGCTTTGTTTTTAAAAGAGGCAAGTATTTTACTTAGTATGCTACCTATGTTTAAACAGTAAATAGCTATACTATATCCATCAATCAAAAAAAAAAATATATAGCACATAGGTAAGAATTCTTAGCAGTATGCACTACTACTCCCTTAATGTTCTAGCTGAAGAATGAACACAAAACTCAGATTGCATAAGCACTGTGCTAACATACAAAATTGTTATGCTCTTCCTAAAATAAACTCTCCTTTGCATGGAAAATGATTGAGCTTCTGTTTTCGCCATAAAGAGCTCCCTCCCCATCCCTGCCCCCCCAAAAAAGAATAATGGCAGAGCCTTTAAGCAAGAAGAGGTTGAAACAGATAATCAAAATGGATGAACATTGTATTAAAATCTGTGAAGTTTCTGACGACAAAATAAAAAAGACAGAGAAGGATGGGAATCATAAACCTTGTGAAGCAAGGCATAGTTAAGCTCTCTCTTAGCCTTATACTGTGCCTAACAGTAAAGGGCTCAGGACTCTTTTTTTCTTTTATTATCCAGACCTAGTAAAGCTCAGACCTCTAAAATAAACCTGCAAGGGCTGGAGCAGAGAGCAGGAGGAATGGAGTAGAAGGTTGGTGAAACACTGTGGCTTTGCACTTTTAGGAGAAGGCTGTTAAGGCAACAAGTAGATTACAAAATTCTCACAACTTTCCAAGTGAGACATGCTTAAACTGGGACCCTGCAGGCAATGGAATGAGACACTGCACCACTTGCTTGCTATCTAAAGAAAGGTCCCTGCAAAGTTGTTTTGTTGGTTTTTTTTTTTCTCTCCTAGTGAGTATTTTATATGTAAATAGAAGCAACTTCTGAGTGTGGTAGCTCAGAGCTTATCTAGAGATTACAGGGACAGAAAGTAAGAGTTGTACTGGAAACGTAATGACATAGCTGGGACTTTATGCTTAGCATAAAACTTCACAAGTACACAAAGTATCTTTTGGTAGACCCAGTATTTCTGCTCTGCTTTCACGTGGTTCTTAGCACAAAGGGGATCCAGTTTCTAGAACTAGCTTCTCTCAGATGCAACCTTTTATCTGTGCATCACAGCCTGAAGAACTGCAAGACATTAACTCTTATCCAGTCCTTACTAATGTAGTGAAATTTGCCTGTGCAAGTTCTTCCACAACATGAATTTTTTAATTTCCTTTTTTAATAATCTCATACTGACATAGCCGACAGTTGGAACACCGCAAATGCAAGTGGATGAACTGTTTGTTTGTTCTACAAAGATGTGTTAATATGTTATTTATGTTGGAGTATCACAAAGGCAATATTGCTGCCTTGGGAAATAATTCTTACCTGAAGTTCTTTGGCAGGTTGTGAAAGAAATAAGGTAGTGCTAGAACAATGCAAAAGCACCCATGACAGATTGTTCCATGTCTGTCACTTGTGTCTTGCTTAAACGGTGCTATTTTGGGCTATGAGCTCTAAAGGGACTACTTTCTATGGTATTAACTCCCATGAGATTGTAGTGAGGTGGGGGTCAGTCTCTTCCATGATCTCTCAAATGAAAGGATGAGAGCAAATGATCTTGTGTCAGGGGAGGTTCAGATTAGGTATTAGAAAAAAGGTTTTCACTGAAAGAGTGGTTAGGTATTGGAATATATTGACCATGGTGACTCCATCACCTCTCTGGAAATGTTCACGAGGCATCTGGATGTGGCACTTGGGGATATGGTTTAGGGGTGATTATGGTGGTGCTGGGTTGATAGTTGCTCTAGACCATTTTGAACATCTCTTCCAACCTTGATGATCCTTATGATCATCATGGTGAGTCTTACATAAAAGGAAATAAAGGCTTACTCTTTCATTATACCCTAAATCTGTTTATTGTGAAATAATATTAAACAGATACGCACTGTTTGCACAACATCCTATTCACCTTCCATGAAAATGGAAGAAGTTTGCTAAGAGAAAAAGAATGAACAGTTAAAAGACCAACTTCTTGCAATTCTTCCTTGAATTTTTATTTTGAATCCTGTGTTACAATGGCATTGCAAATATAATTACTGATGAAGCATGCTACCTAAATTTGAAAAAGCAGTATAGGTTCTCTTCAGAGTTGTTTTACATGTTGCTTCCCAGCCCTAAAATGATAATGCCTCTCTCTCAAATACCCACTTTTGATGTCCTGTTCTTCAGAATTTGGTATGATCTGGGCTAGGTTTGGAGCTAACTTCTAGGTTCATAGTCATGGACAGATGAACAGATACATACCTCCTGCAGATGTTGCTGCAGATTGTGTGGATGACACAGAAGTGACATTGGATGAACTGCTATTGTCTTCAAGGAAAAAGAAAGAAAAAGAAGAAAATCAATATTATTCATTTCAATTTAACACACTATAATTAAAGTACCCACAACACAATACTCTCTTCAGGGTATCTGTGTTTGCACACTACAATAGGAAATATGGTAGAGATTATTCCATCCCAAAGCAGACAGTTTTTATCCCTCTGCAAAATACTTCCAGATCTCAGAGCAGCAAGAACATAGTTGCACTCTATGCACAACAGTGCCTGAATGGTCTGCATCTGAATTCTTTATATCTCCTCTGTTTGCTCTCTTCCACTTCTATGTCATGTTCTATTCCATTTGCTGTAAAAAGCCATACTATCACTGACTTTCTTGACCTACTTAAGCACCGTGAGGTTTTTTTGTAGTTTTTATGCCTCTACTTCAGTTCCATTTCCCGTCCCTCTATCTTTTCTTCCATTTTGCTGTATCTCTGTTGCAAACTGGGCTGATGCTGGGAATATACTGTAGTCAAGTAGGGACAAATCAATACTCTGTGAAACATTTTTCTGTAGACTTACACTCTCTCTACAAAAAACAGTCCTAAGAAGGTACCTGTTTTCAAAGACATAAAATACAAACCATGTTTCAGTCATAGTGGCTTTGTTCTTCTCTCCTTTTTTTCACCTCTACTTTTCCAGTTCTCTTTTTCTTGCCCCTCCTTCCTCCTCATGTTACTTCTAGGTTTGTCAGGCACCCTCCCATTCTCACTTCTGTCCTCATTGCTGCATCCCTCTTCTGTATTTCTTACAGGTTAACAGTCTTCCTCCTGGCTAAGATCTACTGGGCTGTTCCTGGGAGTGTCACTGTCCATACTTTTCTCCCTTCATTCTGCACTGCTATGTATGCCAATTCTGTGAATATTCTTTTCTCTGAAGTAACTGATCTTTTACAGCACCCTCTCACAGTGCTATGTGTCTTGCAGCAGCACTGTTGGTTTTCAGCATGACTGAAAAGCAAAGCACATGACCTCAGAGATTGAGAGCAACACAGCTACTGCAAACAAGAAGCAGATATATACCTATTTCCCTTGAATGGATCTGCTGATCTTACCACTGGAAAAGTCTAGTCTAAAACAGTTTTGTCAATGCTTTTTGCAATTGCATACATGATATGAGCAAGCTCAGGTTTAAGAACAAATGCACCAAATTTAGACCTTCATACCATGTACCAAAAAATGGGATTGTGGGAGGGAATTACTTTGCCTTTTCTTTGGTATAATCACAGCCAACTAGCCCCCCCTGCTCATGCAACACTGACATACCTGGGATATTAACTTGCAGATTTAATTGCCTTTGAGAAACAGTCTAGGATTGTACAATTACAAACACATTCTTTCTTGGATATGTTGATTTTTATACCAGCATAAGCCATGGAGATGCCTGGGTTTAAACCTTTTCTACACTGGGCCAATACTGCAACCAGAACATATCTTTGCATTTCCTCCAGGTTCTGAGTGCTTCCTTCTGCAACCCTGGGACAACTCTGGATGTGGACTGCATGTTCATACAGGTGAAAAGAAGCTACGTATACTGCCTGGAATTTGGGTGTGAGTCAGTAGTGTAATTAGCACCAGCTAGAGTGAGTCAATGAGCAGAGTATTAGTATGCACCCCACTTTTGGCCAACAGCAAATAAAATGAGCGTAGTAGTACAGGGCAAAAATTACTCAAATGAAAAAGTGTCTTGCCTTTATCTGAATTCTAGCCCAGCAGACTTCTTAGTTCTCCTTTTAACTGTAAACGGGTGTTGCCAGGTGTTTCTAGTTCCATACACAAAATTTTCCCATTTTATTTCTCCTCTCTCTGTTGCTCTGGGGTAACTAAGTATATGAGAACTGCGTTGTGTTCTACAGTTCCTCTTAAATAACTTTAGTTGTCCCAGAATAGATGTGACAATCAGAGTACCTTCCCCCCTGCCCTACAGCTGTTCACAATTCAATAAAGGACAAATTACCACAGGATAGTTTAAGGTATACAATAATACATATTGCTTTTCTCGATGTTACTGAGGAACAGCAACAGAAATGTCAAGAGCATTACCTGGCAATCTCTGGCCTGAAATCGTAGTAAAAGGTGCAGTGCTGTTCATGTCTTCATTTCCTACATAAGAACCCACAAGAATAAAAAGATAGTTTTAGGCAAGTTATTACTAAGGAAAAAAAAAGTACATCATCTGTCGCTTGGCTTTGGGGCATATAAATGACTAAATTATCATGGACAGGAATTAGGTATAATGATGATATAAAAGCACAACAGCCTGCTCTTAGTGCATTAAAAGTGACAATTTTTATATTACCCAACCATCAAACGAACTGGTACTCCTCCCATCCTCTATTTTATATTCTCCATCATCCCTAACCCAGGTTCTTGTCTTCCTTGAGACAAAATGAGGCCAAGAGGCAGAAAATCAGGCACCTTCCTTCAGTAATAATATCTGACCTGCACCACCTAGAGCAGAAGGAAAAGAACTTCTCACTTAAATCTTCTCCTGTGAGGTCTACAAGGCCTGTGCAGGCAGACAGGGGCTTGCTCTGGCCCTAAATGGACAACGTAAGATAAATAGCTCCTAAGAAGTTACACTGCTCAGTTTGAGACTAAAGGCATGTTAATGCATCCACTGGGCATTTGGCAGGTGGTAAATGGGACTGAGAAGGATCACACTTCCAAAGAACTATCATCATACCCTAGAGACTAACTGAGGCCTGACTACTTTATCCTCAAACCTGGTCTACAAACAGGAGGTAAAATTTATAGATAAACCACACAGAATAAACAGTCTGGCATTCACAAGCATACAGGAGGATTGGTTGTGGATTCTGCCTTTGCCAAGCATAGTTTAGTTGTGATCACTTAATATTGTGGTAAAGACAAGCAAATAACCTGAACCAAGTCTGACAGAAATAGGGCATTTTCTTAGTGGTTACAAAACCTTAGTGAATATCTCAAAATGGTAAAGCCTGTAAATACAAATGGCAAAACCGTGCAGTATCAAGATGGAGGGCAGCACTGCAAGATATTTTAGACTGTTTAATTAGGGAGCTCAGGGAAAACACACAAACAAACAAAGGATGGGACACAGTTAAACTAAGCTTTCCCAGAGAGGACCCAATCCTGCAAGACATCGACAACATCAGAGTGAATGCCCCCCATTAAACAGTGATCTGATTGAGGAAGCTAAGCCAACACAAAACTGACATTACCCCCTTTCCAAGAGCACACAATGTATTTTGCTGCATCAACCAGCAGAATGCACTCCCTGTATGATTAGATGAAAGAGAGGGGCAGGAAGCAGAGGTGGAAGGGAAGACAGGACTATATTAATCCTAGTTCCAATCAGCTTGGACTGTACACCTTGAAAGACATCAAGGACCTTATTCAGCTTAGAAGATGCAACTTTTCTTTCTCCTCAAACTCCAAACTCTTAATTTGAATTGCAAGCATTGGCTCTAGAATACAAATACAGCTTAAATAGGGTACTGCATAAGCATATGCCACATTGGAACACATTGCATTGAATGGGACAGGTGAGAAAAAGAAAATCTTAAAATTACACTATTCCCAAACTGGTCTCTATTGTCAGACTGTGGGTCTGGACTTAAAGCTGCACATATCACTGCAGTGACAAGCAGGAGACTTCAAAAGGAAGGCAGGAAGGACTCCTGATTGTTAAGCAAAGGGAAAAACACCATAGTTTTTATGCAGTGGTGGCTCTGACAAGTGGAGACTCTCATTCAAGACCACAGGCTGCAAAGTGCAAGTGTCGCAAAGCAAAACAGTGAAGGGTTCTGGCCTTCTCCAGGAAGCAGAAGTGCAAGGGTTAGAAACCTGCACTGACCCAACTGTGTACATGCATGAGCGAGTACAGGAAGGAAGGGGGGAGAAAGCCGGCAGCCAGCTGCAGCATCCTGTGCACAAGAAGAAGCAAAGCTCTTTGGGACACAGCAGTAGTTACAGTATCAGGCCTACAAAACGTTGTGCTGATGCTTGTTCCCACCGTTATCCAGAAGAGAGCGGAAAGAAAGAAAGGATCTCTGTGTTCATTTTTCATGATGAAATGGAACCAAAACAAGGATATACCCAATTTAAAACGGTTTCACAGCAACACATACTGGGAAGTAACAGGGAAGGGGGATCAACATTGTTTTTGCCAGACAACTCTGTTTTCCTCTCTTTAAAGTCAGGCACAGATGCAGCTAAAACCATGATTTTGTGTGGTTGGTCGGGGTGTATCTGAAGGCAAGTGTGCTTCCTGTGGAAGCACAGTCACAGTTTGAGCCCACGTCACAGTTTGAGTTTTCAGGGCCTCTTGTGGTTTTGTTGTTCTAGTGTGTAAAAAGTCATGAGTTAGAGACAATTTGGATAAGCAAACTTTCAGAGGGGCAAAATCAGTTCAGTTCTTCCAGCTTTATAGCTGGAATTCGATTTTCCAAAGTGGTAGAGACAGGATGCAGACTTGTGTTTCTGTTATACACGTAGATAGATGCAGGGTGAGTGACGGGGATAGCTCCAATACTTGTTGAAAATTAACAGGACAAGATGTTAAATGGACTTGATTTTGCTTGCAAAAATCAACACAGTGGATAACATTCATGTTTGGAATCCATAGTCTCTAGCTCAGATACATACCAAATTACTGTTCTCCATAGAAGAACCCTGGTAGAAGAACCCTACACTAATGAGTGGCAATACTCATTCGACTCCCTGCATGTGACAAAAATCAATTTGCCCACTCTCACCTTTCTGTATAAAATAGACACATTTCTAAGGACTCACATGCTTAATGTCTAGTGTAGCTAAACCTCACGCTGCAGGAAGATGCTGGTATATAAACTCTCATTTTTACTAAGCACAATTTTACACATTCATTTTGGGGACATTTCAAAAGTCATATATAAATTTCTCTCTGGGTATTTTCCCTTTTCAAGTTTGATGCCTAGCAGACATGTAGGAGAGTTTTATGCCCAAGTAATTTCCGCTTTTGTTGGTTTAAACCAAAAAGAACAGAAGCACCAACAATGTGCAGTCCATTAGAAAGATCTCCCACTTGCTCAATAACCTTTAAGCAATCCAGGTAAGCAACAGTAGAGGTGCTGGAATGGTTAAAGCAGAAATGTTAAAGCAGCAACATGAATATAACCATCCCCTAGATACTCTCCACCATCAGCATACTCATTCTTCTTAGTTGAAATGGCTAAGATTAAAATTCTGGAGACTGAAATAAAAGCAACTCCCTGACCTCAAATCTATTGTACCAGCTGCCAGGCAATTCTGAGAAACCATAAATTCAAATCCCTGCTTTCTGGAAACTTCATTTTCCCTTTGATTCAGCAACGTCTTTTGGTACCTATTTTTGAAATTATGTACTTGACCTGCCAAGAAGGTCTCTCCTAAGAGAGAGGGTAGGCATGATTATTGCAGCAACTTTTTGGACAGGTCTTCATACCTTATCATTGTGAAACTACCTCACAGTCTTGCAAAGGAAAGCATAAACACCATTGCATAGATGGAAACAATACAGACCCACGGAATCAATTCTCAATCCCAGTCAATTTGAGACTGAAAAACTACACTCCCTTTTGCTGTCACCCAAAATCTAAGAGGTGGGAGAATATGGTGAAATCAAAATACCATGCCTGTTTTCAGGTTTGGAGGCTGCTGCCGCTGCTGCTAATTTTTTGTATTGCAATGAATTTTGTATACAGGTAAGCTCTTGGAAGATGTCACTAGCTATTTTTTCTGAGCCGCGCAGGAAGGGGGTGGGGGGTCACTTCCTGACAGGGAATCTCTTTACTCAGATACCAGGCAGCCAGCTGGATTTTACATAATAGAGGGAAGGATTTTTCCTAAACCATAACAACATTTTGGTGATGTTTCTTCCACTGACTTGACCAACACCTAGAAGCAAACCGTTCAAGAGAGTAAAAGAGCAGCATTATATTGACAGAACCAGTCTGCCCAAAAATCTTAACTGGAGTGAAGAGGACAAATCTACTGTCACTTTCACTTTTTGCAAATCACAGGACTTGATGGGTTTCACACTTTCTCCTGCAGCATTGATTAGATAATCACAAACTTTTGCTGAAACCAACACAAATCTCAGCAGTGCTTTCTGGAAGTTTCCAAGTTAACTAGAAAAAGGTATTACAACACATACATTGAACTGAGCCTTCAAAGGGCACAACTTCTCTCAACATATTCTAACTGGGCTCTAGACAACAACTTTACATATAAAGGAAGGACTACATTAGACTGACAAAAGTCAGATGAGATCATCACTGCCCCAGGAGACAGCACTGACTGTACACTTCCTTAAACTAGCACATGCACTCAGGAAGTAGCATGATAAAAAACAGATCAATGCAATCGTCTATCAAATGAAATGACAGTCTATTATTGTTAAATGGGGGCCAGAAGATCTTAGCAAAGCAATAAACAGGTTACCTGTAAACTTTTTCTAAAAAACACTTGCCTTTTTTTGGAAGGGCAATTATAAAGGTGTTTACATTCCTCATTTTAATTTTTTTTTTTTTTTTTGGTATCAACTTTGCTACAACTTCACCAGGTTAAGCAACAGCACAGTAACACTGCTGGACTGACTGAGATTCTTCAACGGTATTCATGGTAGGTTAATTCTGGTACGTATCTTCTGGCTACTTTACTTTGGAAAATTGTGGGGCACCGTATGGGGCATTACAGTCTTCTGAAAGGCAACCATGGCAGCTCAGACCTTTATAGCTCTCGCTTTATTTCAGTGCATGTCAACGATTATCCCGACTCTGGTGTTCTGAGCTGAGCACGAGCAAACACAGGCTGTGTATTTGCTAGAACCAGACATCACAAAGAGGCACTGCTGCTGCCAGCGCCTGACAGAAACACGACAAAGCAGAGCGTCTGTCCCACCCGCACCGCCACGATGACCCCAAAGCCCCCGTTAAAAGCCCCTCGCCGTAAGTACCGCCCCAGAGAACAGCACACAGAAGGGGCCGGAGCGTCCCCTTCCAGCCGGGCCCGGCCTGGGGCAGCGCAGCGCCCCGGGCTCCCCCGTGCCCCTCTCGCCATTCACCTGCCAGGCCCCGGGAAACCGGCGGGGTGCGGAGACATCTCCCGCCGTGCCTCCCGCTCCCGGGAGCGGAGCCACGGGCGAGCTGGCCCAGGCGTGCCCGCGCATCCCGGACTCGAACCGCTCCTCGGGAGCTTCTTTTGTAATTGTTTCTC